GCTCAAGGACTAAATCGTTCCTTCCAATCTATGATTTCTCTGAACCCAATTAATTCTACCTTTTGCTCCTTTATACATGACATCCATTCAGGTATCTGGGGTGAATTATCATATCTGTCCCCTGCTTCTTACTCTTTTCTATTTCATGTTTAAAACAGCCAATACTATCAAGCTTTTTAATAGAACTAATTTTTCATTTGTTTGACAAGTTTCATCATGTGCTTTGAGCTTATTCCAATTCACCTACACTATGTTATAATGCTAAAAATCAAAGTTTGTTCCAGTTCTGAGTATGCTGGAATGAACTAACCTTGTTGCAGTAATTGCTAAACAGGAAGCCAGAAATAACTCTATGTCAAAGGCACTACGTAGTAATTACACTTATGTTATGATAATATATTAGCAAAATTCAGTATTTAAATAAGAGAAACTTACTAAAGATTTTGTGAGAGTACGCATTCATCATCATTATATAATGGATGTGTACTAAACTAATTAGCTCCACCTATTCCTTTTAAAAAAAATCCAAAATCCATAATTTCGTGCTTTATTTGCTAGGATCAACTGACAAGGCATTGTTTCTCTATTTGGTTAATTTGCCCCACTGAATAAGGAAGCTTTCTGGGGAATTCTGGAAGTTGAAATCTACACATCTTATAGTTGTCAAGGCTGAAAAATGTAATCTAAGGATTCTAGGACTATTGATTACATTAAGGGAAAAAAAGCCCAAAGGAAGGTTATGGCAAGACTGCATGAAAACTGCATGGCAAAGTCCCAAGAAGTTGAGAAAAGACATTTGTACCATTTTTTTTAATGGAGTGGGATTTTTAATTATACTTATTATGTATTTATTTAGAGTATGACATACAATGTCAGGAAAATCTACATATGCTAGACACACAATGCTGTCCTGACATCCTACAATGCTAGTTCATTCCATTTGGTGCTTGTGCACCTATTATCAATGCACCACAGGGGGCAAACTAGCTTTACACCAATTAGCTAGCGGGGTTCGGGTTGCTATGGTAGCTCATCCAGACTCCTCCTGCCAGTCTCCCCTCGCCTCATGTGGTGATGCTTTGCATCTGGCCAGATCCAGCACTGGTTTCTGCTCTCTGCACACACGAATGCAGCTAGGTTTTTTTCCCCCACTGAAGTGATACCCCAGGGGTAGGCAACCTTGGCTCTTTTATGACTCGTGGACTTCAACTCCCAGAATTACTGAGCCAGCATGGCTGGATCAGGAATTCTGGAAGTCCACGAGTCATAAAAGAGCCAAGGTTGCCTACCCCTGTGATACCCATTTATCTACTTGCAATATTGCCTGCTTGGTGGGCAGGAGCTATGGATCGAGTGACTGGAGCTCACTCTGTCTCATGGAGCCGGGTTTGAACTGCCAGAGCTCACACCATTTCTGGCCGGCAGTTCCAGAGCCATTAAGCCTCTACGCCACCGCATCCCCACCAATTGCACCTCTGAAAGATTTACATTTTTATTTTGCGGGAAGCAGGAACAACTCCAGAAAAAAAAACTTTTCTTTAATCCTCACCTGTTAATTTTATTTCCAGTTTAATGCCATTTTAAAGTGATAGAAGAAAACAATTCCTTGGGTAGTTACGTTGTCGTTGGAGACTGAAAACAGCCACTGATACCTACCCCACATATCAAATGTATAAAGTCAAAATGGATGTTCTACTGTCTCGATCCTGGAAGTGTGGAGGGGGAGGCAATTTGTTCACTGAAAAGTAGCATTTCTGCAGGAATTTTGATTTGCTTTGTCCTCATGTAGCCTTTTGCCTCCCTAAGCAAAACAATTGCAAAAACTGAAGAGATGAGAGCAAGACATCTGGACGGCAGATGTATTGACTTGTCATAATGCATCTTCCCAAAAGGCATTTATATCATATACATCATCCCCATGAGTTTCTGTTGTCCTCTGGAGACTAGCAGTGATGGCTGCCATAGGGCACAGAGTAAAAAAAAATACTTCTATGACATTAATAATGTTATTTTCTTTTTCTTTATATCATAGAGTTGGTAGAGGCCACCTCACCCATCCAACTGACCCCCACCCCACCCCCCACTCAGAACAAAAATTCAGATACAAGCTCTCGCACAATCACAAAGTTGGAAGAGACCATTAAGATCATCAAGAGGTTAACCCTGTACTCAGTGCAAGAAAGCTAACTGATTGAATTATCTCAAGACAAGATGATTGAATGTACCCAGTGGGAATAAGAGTCCATTATCTCACTGGATGATCATTTATACTATCAAATCAACCTTACATTTGTGATTTTTTTGAAGTTCATGTTAAAGACTTATATACTCATTTCATTGTAAAATATTCTAGGGCAGGGGTAGGCAACCTTGGCTCTTTTATGACTCGTGGACTTCAACTCCCAGAATTACTGAGCCAGCCATGCTAAGGGGAAAGGGAGAGTTTCCAAGCTGAGCCATGCTGGCTCAGGAATTCTGGGAGTTGAAGTCCACGAGTCATAAAAGAGCCAAGGTTGCCTACCCCTGTTCTAGGGTATAAAAGTAGCATAAGTAGCACCTAATCAGCTTATTCCCTCTGTCCTGGTTCCAACTCTTCTCAATGGCTATGAGAACTTTCCTTTGTTTTTCTTTTTAATTAAAGCTGAGAGTTCATGGATATTCAATGAAATCAGACATTCCATTCTATTCTTTCTGCCTATTGATTAATTGAATGGTGGGGTAGCCATTAGTGTCCCTTTCCAGTGAAATGTCATTCTCCTGTGTGCTTCACCCCCTCACCCCCAACCCTGATTCCTATATCTGTGCTTTCATTCCTCCTGAATTGGGTGGAATGCTGTTTCTTTCTCCTCCAAGACAAACATGAGAAAAACCCCAAAGATGTTCAACAAATGCAATTCCATGAACATGAAGATCAGGGGAAAAAAGTTAGTAAGCTTCACTCCCTCACCAAGCATTCTTTCTGCATTTTTAAAAATTATTTGTTTCTTTTTGCAAAGATTCATAAGGATACAACTGAAAGATGGAACCTCTGAGAATCTAACTGGAATTTCACATTATAAATAATATAATAAAGCTTGAAGGATGCAGGTCTTATAAGAGTGAAGATCTTATGTGCCCTCCAGATACTACTGAATTACAATTCTCAGTATCCTTCATTACTGGCTATTTAAAGAAGGATCTCTAATGTCTGAAGCAATACCTAGAGCAGAATTTCAGCAACCTTAAGATATGTGTACTTCAACTTCCAGAACTCCCCAGGAAGTTGATTGAGGAATTTTGCGAGTTGAAATTCACATTTCTTAAAGTTGCTGAAAGTAAGAAACATTGACCTAGAGCAGGGGTCCCCAACCCCCAGTCCATGGACCAGTACCGGGTTGTGGCATGCCAGCAACCAGTCCGCACAAACAAGCAAAGCCCCAAGATCAGCCAAGGTCAGCTGGGTGCAGAATTATTCTGTCCGGACTATGATAAGATCTCTTGGTTTCTTCTTTTCCCACTTGCTGGGGAATTCTGGGAACTGAAGCCCATACATCTTCAAGTGGCCAAAGTTGCTGTACCTCACAGTGAATCCAACAACCTTTTACTGAGACAATGAACATTCAACTAGCTAAGGAGACTTTTGCAGCACATACTTACTTGCCTTCCCTCAAATACCCCTAACAATAATGAAACACTGAAATTCCATTTCCCTAAAACTGATAGGTACACATTTATTACTTTTATTTCCATTCTTTCCTTTAAGACAAGGGTCTTCAAGCTTGGCCCTTTTATGATTTGTGGACTTCAACTCCCAGAATTCCTCAGCCAGCAATGCTGGCTGAGGAATTCTGGGACTTGAAGTCCACAAGTCATAAAAGGGCCAAGCTTGAAGACCCCAACTTTAAGACTTTAAGTTGGCACACTTGAGGAAGGGTCACCTGATTATTTTGTTTTCTCACAACAACAACAGCCAACATACAGGAGTAGCAAAGGCATGTTGGATTAGGAGTGAGACCAATAGTTACAAACAATAAGTTTTGCTACCCAAGGTAAACAATACCTTCTAATCATAATACCACATCAACAACACAGCTTGTTTAATTTCCTGCCCACACAACTGGGGAAATAGCTAGGCCTTCAAAATCTTAGGAAAGGGCTGCTGCCACTGGATGTCCAGGTTGATGCTGTTCCACAAGGCAGCAGTGTCACAGAAAAAGTACAACTCCTGAGCCAACAAGATGACATTGTTCAATACAGGAGGAGGGATGCTCCTCCTGCTGGATCTGGTGAGAAGGAGCGGAAGCAGTGAGAGAAATGTCCTGCAAGAAGCCTGGCCTTATGCCTTGTAGGGTTTTATAGGTAACAACCAGCACCTTGAATTGCACTCAGAAACCTATTGGGAACCAATATTATATGAGTACAGTGAAGAATGCCAAAAATTGACTGCATAAATGATTCCACATTAGGTTCCCAATCAGTGGTGAGATTCAAATATGTGAACAACCGGTTCTCTGTGTAGATGCCGCTTCCGGGAAGTCCATTCTTGGCCTGGGCAACAAAAAATTAACTACCGGTTCTGCCAAAGTGGTGCGAACTAGCTGAATCCCACCACTGTTCCCAATCCTTTTCAAGGGCAGCTCCATGTAGAGTATGTTACAGTAATCCATAAAGGAGATGACTAAGGCATAAATTACCACAAACAAGGCCTCTCAGTCCAGTAATGGGCCCAATATGTAGGAGACAAATCTTGCAAAAGTCCAGGTAATGGTTGGGGGAAAACAGAATAAGGGGTCTCTGAACTCTTCAGTGAAAGGTGGGATATAAATTCAAATAAATAAATAGGACTAAAAGATCAAGGATGGAAATGTTTCTTCTAGTTCACTAGCCTGATCACTACCCACTACCCACTAGACTACATTTGATAACCATGAAGAATTGATAACTGCAATGAAAATAAGAACTTCCTTTTCAAGCACAGAGACTTTGCTGCCCAACCCTTCCACATGTTAGGCATTGCTTACCGAGCCCCTGGTTCTGCTGTTCCCATTCAATTGCATTTGGTACATGATAGGCTATTCCAGAGAGCTCTCCTGCAGGACTTTCCAGTCCTTCCAAGGGTTCCTGTGAGGTTTCCCCAGGAACAGTAAAACTGGAGAGGTCAGCATCATCTAAGTTTTCATCTATTAAATTGGGTTCTCTGTCATCATCATTCTCTTCTTCATCCTCATCCATTTCCTCCTCCTCCTCTTCTTCTTCTTCTTCATCCTCTTCTTCCTCCTCCTCTTCCTCTAAAGAGATAGGAATTAAAAAAAAAAGATGATATTGAAAAAAAATCATATCATGATGTTCATTGATGACAAACAGGCCATGAATTGATTTGTACTCCTTTTTTAATGAATTAAAGTAATGATGGAAGATGCTTGAAATAGAGCCTGTTGTCTGGGGGGGAGGGGTTAATTAAAGTCTGTTCCTTGGTGAGTATCTAATGATAGTATTTGAAAAGTTCCAAAGATATGGATATTCATCAAATAAAAAGAGTTTCTTCTTTTCCTCTTGTCTCATAATCTTGGTGAAAACTTTTACCCATCTGTGGAATAAAGAATATCTTAAGAGGAGAGCCTTTCAGTAGAGACACATTACAATCCTAATGTTGACTGGACTATTGATACTCACACCATTAGAAGTAAAAGCATTTAACTTCATTGTGGGGGGGGGGTTTAAATTTCATTTTACCCCTTATAAGTGAATGAAATTTTTGGGAGGCTTAACACACTTATTAGGGGGCTTAATTAGTGGGAACAGAGAGACAAATATTGTGCCACTGAAAATGATCACTTTGCTGTGTAATTCTGGATGCTCCATTTGAATCTGCAAAAAATGGATGCATGCAGCCTATTGGTCATAATGACTAACAGTGACTTAAGAAAGTCTACCCAGGCTTGGTGACCTCCAGATATATTGGATACATTCTACAGATATATCCTACAACTGCTAGCCAGCATGGAAACAGCTTGTAGGCTGGGAATGCTGAGAGTTGGCCTAACACATCTGTAAGGCACTAGATTGGGATGTCAAAAAAGCATTAACAGTGTTTTTAAGAAACTCTTGTTGTTCTTGTGACAGATGCAACTCTGTTTCTACTTCCCAATATTAGAATTTATTCATCATTATCATGCATAGTTTATTCTTTCAATAAAAGCTTTTTTCATGCATCAAATCAGGCTGTAGTAGAGTCCATATTTTTTAAAAAAGAAATAGGAATGCTACCCAATGAATTTTAGTACTTTCATGTCTCCTTTATTTCAAAAGAAAATCATTAAATATCCTAGGTCAAACTAGTAGATATTTGACTCATCAATTCTCATACTTCCAGACATTGTACAAAAGGGTGAATGCGGTGATTTCAGACATCATGGAAAGAAATGCATTGGTTCTTGCCTATCTCTAAAATATTTTGCTCTAATACTGCATTACCAATTACATTACATTCCTCAGTATTAGAAAGAAAAGGAAACATTGCCATCAGTTGGTCATAAGCAGGCCCTGCAATCTTCAAGAAAGTTCAGAAGGAAAGACATCATAAGAGAAAATGCCTGCAATTAATCAGGAAATAAAATCGTAGTATTTCCATTTTTGTGTGTTTCCTCTTTAAAGTATCAAAATAAATGCATAAACTAAAAATAATAAAGTTACAGTTAAAAGTAATAGGATTAAAGTGGGTGTTAACTACAGATTTCTATCACTCAGATACACACATAGAATAAAAACAGAAGACAAACAAATTAAGAATTTTGCCTATTTTGATACCTTTGTCAAGCTTGATCTATGCTTAGGATCTGTACACAACACCTACAGTATAAGCACCAATGTGCACACAAACAGTTCTGTTGGTACCTTCCAACTTTCTGCAGAAACACCTTATTTTAATTTTGATAAATCTAAAAAAGGAGGTAGCATGCTGTGAAGGAAACCACCAGCCTTTAGAAACATCTTTGTAAATTAAAAATGGTGGGTGGCTGTCCCTTAGCACCTTGTCATAAAATGTGTTCACCTGCCAAGAAAGAGAAGACAAATAAGCTGGGGGCTGGAAGACAGTTCTGGATGGCTGCAAAGAAGCTTGTCAGTTTGCTTTCTGATGAATTGCCACTCTGTGGTTGGTCCTGCCCAGGGTAGCAGCCATTTTGTCAATGGGCAAGCATAGCTAACAGCTATTTTCTCTGAAGACCCATATCTCACATACAATGTACTTACTAACAACAACAACAAAAAGTGGATCCTATCAATAAACCAAAGACATCCTAGATTTTGGCTGAGTGCAATATAGAACCCAACCAATGTGGCATTATTTGTTTATTTGTTTATTTATATACTGCCTTCATTATTTTTATAGCTTATTATTTATAAGAAATGATTATTTAAATAGAAATATTTAATGCATAGCTTTATTATTTGATGATACCACTCTAATGGCAGAAAGTGAAGAGGAACTAAAGAGCCTCTTGATGCGGGTGAAGAAGGAGAGTGCAAAAGTTGGCTTGAAACTCAACATTAAGAAAACCAAAATCATGGCATCCGGCCCTCTCAATTCCTGGCAAATAGATGGGGAAGAAATGGAGGTAGTGACAGATTTTATTTTTCTGGGCTCCAAGATCACCTCAGATGGGGACTGCAGCCAAGAAATTAAAAGACGCTTGCTCCTGGGGAGGAAAGCTATGGCAAATCTAGACAGCATACTAAAAAGCAGAGACATCACCCTGCCAACAAAAGTGCGTATAGTCCAGGCCATGGTTTTCCCAGTTGCAATGTATGGCTGTGAAAGTTGGACCATAAGAAAGGCTGAGCGCAAAAGAATTGAGGCCTTTGAACTATGGTGCTGGAGAAGACTCCTGCGAGTCCCTTGGACTGCAAGGCGTTCAAACCGGTCAGTCCTAGAAGAGATCAACCCCGACTGCTCTTTGGAAGGCCAGATCCTGAAGTTGAAACTCAAGTACTTTGGCCACCTAATGAGAAGGAAGGATTCACTGGAGAAGAGCCTAATGCTGGGAAAGATTGAGGGCAATAGAAGAAGGGGACGACAGAGAATGAGATGGCTGGATGGAGTCACTGAAGCAGTAGGTGTGAATTTAAATGGACTCCAGAAGATGGTAGAGGACAGGAAGACCTGGAGGAATGTTGTCCATGGGGTCGCGATGGGTCGGACACGACTTCGCAATTAACAACAACAACATTATTTGATAGCTTATTATCCCAGCTTATTCAGCCAACTAATTAAAAAAGCATGTCTCAGTGAACGACAATGTATGAATCCAGCCACACGTTCCACCCAGCCCCCTCCACCCAAAGAAATAATTATTGCTCTATAATTAGGAAATATTTGATTTAATGAACAATTGCGCAAAGGCTCTACAGATAGCCTTAAATGTCAAGGTCCTCTCACATTCTATACTCCTAGATTTTAACTTTTAACTTATTTTTGTTTCATCCTAGCTCCTTTTACAGGTGTACTGCATTCTATATGGTGTTTATGCTTTTGTTTTCACTGTACACCATCCACCACCCAGTCCCTCTGAGGGTGAGATGGGTGGTAATTAATTTTGATAAATATTTCCATTATAAAAATCTGTTTATTCTTCGAAATGCATCACACCAAAGTATGAAATGTAATTAATGACAGAAAAAAACAACCTTAAGGACCCAGTTTTTAGGATGGGGGGCAGAGAGATTAAGCTTGTTCTGTAGGGCAATAGATTCAAAATTTTCAGCCCTATAACTTCTACACATCTGTGCCATCTTTGATCAGATTCACAGTGCAGTATGTGATGTCCATATCTGGATAAGATGTTAAATGGTTTGTCCCAGGATTAATAAACAATATCACAGGCTGATATTCCCCATTCTGGTCTCCAGAGAGAGAGGTGTAATTGTTGCAAAATAAGACCAGTCACTGCTCCCATCCCTTTTTAATACCCACAAATGAAACTGATTTTTTTTAAAAAATACCAAATATGCTTGGCAATTATACCAATGTAATGAAAAAACAGAAAATTGTTACTGTGTTATGGTACAGATGTCCAATCACATCTGGATGGCAGCTGAGGACCCTCCTCAAAAAGTTTGCTCCTGTGAAATCTCACAGGTGCCTGATGCCCTGTTCTTTTATTTTTGTTTTTATTACAAAACATTCTGATACCTTCATCTCCACAAGGTGTCTTCCAAATGTTTGGGGACTACGATTCCCAGAAACCTTAACCAAAGGCTCCCTTACATCAGCTGGTCACATCCTTGCCAAAACATCCACAACTCATATGGATATATCCCTTGGATATATACTCTTGGAAAAATATCTGTAAGAGTTAACTTTGAAATTTCCATCCCATTTGTAAGTGTTCTCTCCCTTCCCAGATTGAGGTTAATTTTGTCTACTCAACCAGGACACTAGAATGCCTCCGACTCCAAGATTTATTATGAGATTGCAAAGCCAAGTCATGCAGACAGGGATTTGTTCAATAACACAGGATAGGCAAGACCCTGATACTAGAAAAAACAAGAACATTGATGATTAAGTGAGAAAGAAGTACAAGATTACATATGTAATTGGTTACAAATTAATTATAAAAAGAGAAAGCTTTGTCTTTGACTAAGCCTGAATCTCTATTTTATACCCGCTAAATGACAAACCAGAGCTTCAGCTAGCTCCAATTGCCCTGATCAACTGCCGTGATCAGCTTAACCATAAATACTGTACAATAGACACTATTCTTATTCTGCGACTCATGGATGGCTTTGCACAACTGCAGGAACAGCAGGAGGCAGTCTCTCTGTGCTACTATCCCATCATTGCACCAAAATTTAATCAAACTCCTAGAAAAGTTCTCTCATTGGAATAAATCTTGTCCAGAAAATCATTAGTACATTAATTAAAACAGGTCAAATGGGTTGGTAGTGATTACAGAAAAGAAAAAAGCAAGTAACTCAATTTAAAGAATGATTACTAATTAAAAACAGGAAGCTAATCTGATGTTATCCCCAAGCAAGGAAATCCATCTATGCCACTTCATGTCCCTTCTCCCTCCATGATTTATAAAGCCTCTGTCCTTTAAGAGCTTAGTCAGGTACCTACTTCGTAAAAATGGAGAAACCAAGAGCAGGTGGTAAGAGCTCTAGGGGTGATATGTTTAGGGGAGGGGGGTTAATCCTTATACAGTGTTCAGAGTCATTTGTGTGAGATGGATGGCCTCAAAAAATGGATGATAGATGATAGATAGATAGATAGATAGATAGATAGATAGATAGATAGATAGATAGATAGATAGATAGATAGATAGATATTCAAATCTTTGCAATTGATGCAACCTGCTTTTTTAAAATAAATGTTGCTGAAACCCATTTACCAGAAAGTTAACTGATATGGCTGTCCCCTGCTCTTCCCATCAGTCTCCTTTCCTAATTTTTTTCTACTACAGTTTACTTTTATTTTAGTCTGGCGGAAACATTTTTCAAAGCTTTCACTAGGCCTACAACCATAACCCGCTCCCTTTTCGTATTCTAAAACTTTGATCAGGCTTATCACCTTCTCGGATAGACAAGTTTCCTATTTTCTCCAGCAATCCCCCTCTACTTGCCTCAAAGAATAACAAAGTTCAGAGACCTTTGACTGTGAATACATGACCTTTGTCTTTCCAATAAATGTTGAGGGTTTAACATCAGAGTACAGAAATGAAGCTACTCCACTAACATAAAAAACATTCTTGAGACACATTTCCCCATGTTCAGAGATACTGAATGCTGAAACTTATAATCATCTATTAAGCCCTGGGTAAAGAAACAATGTAGTGTGAAATCTAGCGTTAACTCTTAATTCACATGTTTACAGTTTATTCAAAAAGTATTTTATTTACTTATTTATTAAACGTTTATGTCGCTCATCTTGCACTTCAAGGCAACTCTGCATTTAATCTGTCTGTGGCATAATCATGCTGGACCAAGAATATTTGAATAGTTTTGACTTCCTTAAAAACCTTGATGTCAAATTTGGTAAAAAATAGTTCTGGTAAGCAATAAAATGACAACTTGGGACCAAGGAGAGAGAGACAGAAACAGACAAAGATCTGTCTCCAAGTCAGTCTTGACTCCTTGCAACTGCATGTACAAGCCCATGCATTTTTCTAGGCAACATTTCCAGAACTAATTTACCATTGCCTTCTTCCTAGGCTAGGGCTAAGTCAAAGTGACTGTGTACTCGAAAGCCATCCAATTGGATTCTATGCTTTATGGCAGGTTTAAGATTTACAACTTACTTACAACTTTGCTAAATTTCAGTCCCACAAGAGTCATAGATCCTGCATTTTGGACATGTTCTATAACCCATTTGAGGGATTTCGATTCCAAATGATACATTCTTTCACTCAAGTTACCAACAACCGAACAGACATAAGAGTTTTTGTATTACCATATATAGATATTTGGACCATTACACTCTTACAGTCAATTCCTGTTGGGGAGTATCCATATTTTAAAGAGTCCTGTTCAAATCATCTTACTTAAGTACCTTCTGATTCCAGCCTTTCCAGCCCATAAGTTGAAGCTGTTGTGATTCGGTGGGCAGCTAGAACTGTGGTTTGCCTTGTAGAAGATGCCAAAGAAGGCAGAGATGTCATAGTCTCCATTGTGCCAACAGTCATTTCAGTTGGCACCCTCAGATCAGCCAGCGTCGCAGGAATATAGGCAACAGAAATGATCTCTTTATTCTCTAGGAGGGTGACAGGTTCTGGAAGCCAAGCAAGAATCACAAGTGAGACCTATAAGATTGCACACTGTGACTAAGAAAGATGTCTCATAATTTTCATCATCCTTAACCAATGGCTGGAGATAAAAACCCCAGTCAATACTAGCAGATGGAAATAGGTGAGAATATGTATTTCATACATGTGGAAACTCTTGGCACATGAATTAAGGATGATTCCCAAATGTTTTGAAGCTATTTGAATTGGTGTACATCTTCTTACGGTAAATAATTCCACCACTTCATTATATGGTGTATGAAGAAAAAAATTCTTCCAGTGTACCCTGAATCTCTAACAATCTCTTTCAATGGATGTTCTTGGGATCTAATATTAGAGTTGAAAGAAAACTTCTACTATCTAGTTCAGTGTTTCTCAACCTTGGGGGTTTGAAGCTGGCTGGGGAATTCTGGGAGTTGAAGTCCACACATCTTTAAGTCCCCAAGGATGAGAAACACTGAAATAGTTGGTTGCAATTGTATTTAATGTAATATATTAATTTACTTGGACAATTACTTTTCAGAATATATATCTCAAAATAGTTTATAATGCAAAGTAAACTGCCATGTAATATAAAAATTAAGGAAAACTACAAACACAGACATTATACAAATGCAAAAAGGAAAACAAACACTATAGCGTGCACTGATACATTAAATCTCCTAGTCCCCAAAAGTATATAAATTTAAAAACAAAAAAAAAAGACTTTTTCTTACTCACCTCCTGCCTAACGGGTTATAAGGGCAGGGTTATTAACCAGGACAGTACTTCAATAGAAAACTTAAGGTTTGAGTGAACGGATATGAGATTTAGCATTCTTAAAACCATGTATTTTTTTCATAACAGTTAATATAGTAAATTAGATTAGACTACAGATAGTCCTCGACTTATAACAGTTCACTTAGTGATCATTAAAAGTTACAATGGCATTGAAAAAGGTAACTTATGACCATTTTTCACACTTATGACCATTGCAACATCTCCATGGTCATGTAATTTACATGCGAATGCTTGACAACTGACTCACTTTTATGATGGTTGCAGTGTCCCGGGGTCATGTGATCAGCTTTTATGACCTTCTGACAAGCAAAGACAATGGGGAAACCAGATTCACTTAACAACCATGTTACTAATTTAACAGCTTAACAAACATGGCAAGAAAAGTTGTAAAACTCACTTAACAACTGTCTCAATTAGCAACATAAATTTGGGGTTCAATTGTGGTCGTATGTCAAGGACTACCTATATTTGCCTATCTAGCAAATTTGGATTTCTTTTCTTGCAAGCATTAAACCACAATAAACATAAAGATAGCTCTTACACTCAAATTAATTTTGACTAACTGCTATATGAAGCTTAGTACCATAGGATGCCCATGCCCGTTGAGTGTTATTGAACTCAATTAAAACTCCCAGAAGCTCCAGCCAACTTGATGAATAGTGAGGGATACCATGAGCAAATAATTCAGCCAGGCATGAAGTGTCAGACTTCTGCCTACTGGAATTAGAAGCAACTTTCCAAAGTCTCACAGAGAAGGATCTCTCCCATCAACCATTCAACTGGGGTGTCAGAGACTGACTCAGAATTAAATTAAGGGGGCAAAATCCAACCAACCTTCAACTTCCACCATTTTCGCTGGGAGATGGGTAGAAGGAGGAGACACTGTAGGAGCAACAGTTTCTAATATCCTCAAGAGTTGGGAGGTGCTGGAAACTGTTGATATCTGAGTTGCCAACTCTATTTCTTTCTCCATCACATTTTGTGATTCTATAATCTTCTGGGTAGGCAGGCCTCCTGAGATCACAGGTGATGGCACAGTAGCAGCATCAGGGAAGGCTGTGGCTGTTCCTTCAATAAAAAGAGGATTGAAAAAGAGGTTGAAAACTATGGTTTCTAAAGAGCATTACTATCTTTGTTGCTCAGTTTTCAAAGAAAATTGTCTTCCTAATATATCTTGCATTACAATCGAACCATATAAATGCACATATATCATTATCACAGTTAATAAGCACAAAAACATTTTAAAATATGAAATATATGACATTTAAGACAGCAGCATTTAAAACATGAAAAAAAAACAGAAGCAAAAGCTTTGAAGTTCCTATTTTACACAAGGAGAAGTGGATGCATAACCCCACAGGTCACCTAAGCTTGTTCTCCCACATCACCTTCCAGATGTCACTAATCCAATTCAGTATATCCTTCCTATTAATCATGTTGATTGGATCTGATATGCACTCTAGTTCAGCAGTGAGAGTTGAAGGTTCCTGCTGCTGCACATGGCTTCATGTGCTCTCTAAACAATAACAATAAAAATTGCCTTTTGGAGTAGGTGGCTATTATTATTATTATAATTATTATTATTAATAATAATAATAATAATAATAATAATAATAATAATAATAATAATGAGTAGAAAAGAGACATGGCAAGGCAAAGTATTATATGACTAGTACACAAAAACAAGCAGGCAAAGCAGATAGCAAATAGACCTGGCAATGGTTAAGAGCAGGAAAATGGAAGAAGACAGAAGTGCTAATCCTGGCTGCACAAAACCAAGTCTTATGAACAAATGCATACAAAGCCAGAATTGAAAAGACGGCAACAGAGAGAAATGTCAGTTCTGCAAAGAAGCTGAAGAAACAGTGAACCACCGAGTTAGCTGCTGCAAGAAGATCATACAGACTGACTACAAACAATAGCATGACAAAGTAGCAACAGTGGTGCATTGATATGTCTCCATGAAATACCATTTGTCTGCAAGCAAGAACTGGTGAGACCACAAAATAGATAAAATAATAGAATATGAAAAGGTTAAAGTGCCCTTGGACTGTAGAGTACAGACAAGCAAGCATCTGCCACTTAACACCCCAGACTTAGCAACTATTGAGAAGAAAGATAAAAAGTCTGGGTAAATGAATCAGTACCTGGAAAAAACTGAATAGAAGAGAACGAACTGGGGGGGGGGACACAAAATACAAAGACCTTCAAATAAAAGTAGAATGACTCTGGCAAAAGAAGGCAAAGATAGTACCAACAGTTACAGACACCTTAGATGAAATCCAAAACATCTGGAGCACCACTTGAACATTATTGACACTGACAAAATCATCATCAATCATTTGCAAAAGCAGCTTTACTTGGAACAGTGTCACGCTGTGACAATGGATATCGCCGCTCTGACAACTGAGAACCATCAGCCATTTTTACTTTTGCTTTTAACATGCCTTTCTATTCTTTTAGAGTTCAGATGTAGAAAGGGGGATGGGGTAAATGCCTGAAGGTTTAGCTAGCCATAACAATATAGAAGTGTGGGAACTCAAGGACATGTTCTGATAAGCTTTTGGCTGGCGGAGAGGCTGGAGAGAAAAGCAGAGAAAAGCCCGTGTGTTGTGCTAATTGGGGGATGTGATTTATGACAGCTCTTGTGGGATGGCAATTGCAATTTGTTACTTTGTATCTGGGAGGAGGGAATCTCATTCTTGGATTCAACTATGTAAGTGCTGATACTTTATTTCCTAATAAAATATTCTTTAAGGAAGAAATCTTGCCTTGAAGTTTTTTTAACCGGTTTCATCTATCAGAACCATGACATTAACCCAAGAATCCATTCTGCTCTAACATCCTTGGGGTCCTGAGCTCCAGTCACCATCCCAATTCAGAGAGGAGGTTGACAAAGATTCAGGGAAGATGGAGAATGGAGAAAAAAGATGCATCCACAGCCAGCATCCCGACCACAACAACTGCCTCAGCGGAGGGAGCTCAAGCTCTTGCATCATTGGAGAAAGTGAGTTCAGAACTTTTGGCAGCAGGAGCAAGACCCAAACCGCGGGAGCTATTGTGGTCCTCGGAGTGGACCTTGCCCAGTGAAGACCCTAAGCATCCTGAGGCAGCCCAATCAAAGAAGCGTTCTTCAAGAGTGGCTGAGTCGGAGTTGCAAGCGGGTGCCTCACGGGAATCATGCTCCCCCGAATGGAGAAGAACTAAAAGGTTGGTAGTGGCAGAAGATTCGGATGAGTGGAGGTACCTGTCTGCAGTCTGTAGCCAATCGGTGGAGAAGTTTGAAGACAGAAGTGAGAAGCGAAGGACAGGTCACCCACTCTTTGCCCACTAGTGAGCATGATGACCGGTAAGGTCAGCACCACTCTATGCCCAGAAGAAGCCCTAGTCCCAGTGATGGAGCTCGGGCAACAACTCCACGTGACAATTCCACGCTCAGAGCCACCATCATCGATCTCAAGCCCAGCATCCTGCAACAATACCCTTAACATCATCAAATAATCATATCTGCTTACCCAGCCCCTTGGGGAGATAGGCAGATTAAAAATGCCAAATCTAGTCTAAACATCTGATTATGCAACCAACCATAATAATAGTAAATACAGGCAGAAATGCTCCAAAGGGTTTTTGTTATCACATTTTATTTGTTAAATATGAACAGCAGATGGCAGCAATGGTGGATTCATTAAGCCAGATCAGACCTAAAAGTAGTCCTATGAGAAAGCCAGAGAAAGCCCAGGCCCTGGGCTTGACTAAGAAATCAAAAGAATAACCCGTATCTATATGCCAAGGAAGCTCCATGGATAGGTCCATACAGTCATCAGGAGTTGAGCTCATCTCCAAGAAATCTACCTTTTTTAAAAGAATTAATATCTCTGCTGCATACAGATATTCCTCGACTTACAACCACAATCGAGCCCTAAAATTTCTGCTGTTAAGTGAGATATTTGTTAAGTGAGTTTTGCCTTATTTTATGAACTTTCTTGCCACAGTTAAGTGAATCCCTGCAGTTGATAAGTTAGTAACTTGGACGTTAAGTGAATCTGGTTCCCCATTGACTTGGCTTGTCAAAATAGTGTGAAAGGGGGTCACATGACCTTGGGACACAGCAATGGTCATAAGTATTGTGGGAAGAATTCAATTGTATTAACAATTGGGAAATCTTACAAAAGTAAATAATGATCATTATTAATAATCTAGAACTGAGCCAATAGTTTCACATTTTCAAAAACATTAACTATACTTCTTATTATAATGAGGCTAATTCATCGAAATATTCTTTTCAGGATTAATGGACTCTTCAATGGATGTTTAAAAGGGGGTTCTATTCACAGGTACAATAAATCTGAAATCATGTCTTCTCTTACGCATGAAACCCAGCTGGGTGACTTTGGGCCCAGCATTCTCTCTCAGCCCAACTTACTTTATTGTTGAGGGGGGAATAGAGGCAGGAGCATTATGTATGCCATCTTGAGTTGTACAAAATAAACGTGGGATAGAAATCTAATAGTTATTATAATTTTAACACACGATTTACATATATGTTTACATAAGAGCTGTGATGGTGCAGTGGTTAGAGTGCAGTATTGCAGACTAATTATGCTGATTACTGACTGCTGGCAGTTCGAATCTTGCCGGCTCAAGGTTGACTCAATCTTCCATCCTTCCAAAGTCAGTAAAATGAGGACCCAGATTGTTGGGGGCAATATGCTGACTCTGCTTAGAGAGGGATATAAAACACTGTGAAATGGTATATAAGTCTAAGTTCTATTGCTCTGTTTTCTTGTTGCTCCCTACTGGATGAATGTTCATGACACTGTTTTTGAGATAAGAATTAAATTGTGTTAGCACATTGATAAATCATATTCCTAACATTTGAATTCAACCATTTGTAAAAAACATTTGGATTTATCATACATGAATTGTTGCAAGAAATATTGTTAAGTGTTCCTGGAAATATGAAAATCCTATAGGAAATTTATGTATTCTGTATAAGGAACAGTTGTATATTTAATTTGTGTGAAAGAGAACTTGAGAATTCTTGAAAGAGGTAAGAGATGTGACTGATGCAGAAAAAAATATTTTCAAAGTAACAAAGATTACAGATTTCAAAACAAACTAGAATGGAGACTTTGAATTTTCAATGGCAACTGTATGTTCCACAATTTCAATTTTCCTATCAACTTTGAAAATTGTCCACTAATTCTGGACAGCTCTGTAACTGAACTAATAGGCAAATAATTTTGTTTTCTCTTCTTTCTTTCCTTAGACTATTGGTAAGTAAATTTTGAGTTGTAGAGTGTACTGACTGAAAAAGAAATAACCTCCCACTTTCCAAACATCATCCTTGTTTAATGAAGGAAAAAGAATCTAAATAAAGATGATGGCATTGCCACAGCCCTTCCTGCCTCTGAGGATCTTCCAAAAATTGTATTAACTCTTAACTCTTCTGAGATTTCAGACAAGATTTTTAATCTTGAATTGCTTATACAGTGGTACCTTGGTACTCAACTGCTTTGAAACTCATTGGATTTGGTACTCAGTGCATTCTGATGTGAAAATTTTGTCCAGATACACATCATTTGTTTGGTACTTAAGGCAAAAGCTAGAACTTGTTGGTGTTGGCTAGAAAAGGGGCGTTGACTTACCTGAACGCCTTTTCTCAGCACGGAGATGGATAATCCACGCAGTGGGTTGAGACTGTATTCCTGGCCAATCAGATCAGTCAGCCAAAGTTGCCACGCCCCGTCTTGGACCATGATCCTCCAGTCTTGACTCGAGCGCAGCCATTGACTGACAGTAAGACGTTTTGGCTCCACTAAATATACCCTATTATTCTAGTCTATAAGGGTGGGTGTGGATTATCCATCTCCGTGCTGAGAAAAGGCGTTCAGGTAAGTCAACGCCCCTTCTCCAGCACTGGAGATGGATAATCCACGCAGTGGGACATACCAAAGCCTATTGTCCCTTGGGTTGGGGAATAGACTGGTCCAGTGTGTAACTTTGGTCTAGCACCTGCTGGAGAACCCTCCTACCGAAGGAGGCCTCTGCAGAAGAGTACCTGTCGA